AAATAACATGCAGATCCTGAAATTGCAAAAATCGACAGCGATATTTATGTTGAGCAACCAAAAAGCTTTGAGAAATATGTAAGAACGGAGGGATAAATGTTTATAATTGATGAAGTCGTTAAATAAAATAAAACAGACCGATAGAAACAGCAATAAAATATTAAATAATTACTTTACCGATGAAACTTTAGTCAAATACTCACAGAATATTGATTTGACTACAAAAAAGTAGTCCAACTTCACTGTGCAACTTGGTGTTGTACATTTAATAAGATTACTGGCTTCGGCTGGCAACCTAAGAGCGCTTTTCTTTAGCAGAAAATGCAATTTGCTTGATACCTCCATGGTAATCATATGCTTAATAAGATATGCCCTACACAAAAGATTTCAACAGATTGGGAGCATTGTTTGTTGCTTTGCTGTGCCCTTTCATATACTGTGCAACAATCTCAATACGAAATAGCAATAAAGTTTTAAAAAATTCACGAATGTGGTGAACGTAAGAAACTTCAACCTTTCGTTTTTTATTGAAGATAAAAAAAACTGCGCACATTCCCACGTAGTTACATCAAAAATATAAAAAAGAATTTTAGTTTTCAAAAAATGTGGCAATTTAGAAAAAAATCAATACATCAAGTTTATAGTTTTTCAAGCCTTCTTTAACTTGCATTGAATGGCGGAGTATATTGAAAATTCAAGAGTTGCAAATTAAGTGTCTGCACACTACCCTGCAATAAATCCAATCACACATCCAATCAAAACACGGGATTGGAAAATCATTCCAATACCTTTAGTTTATGCAATGTTTCTTAGTGTAATTGATGCAAACGTTAGATCTGTAGTTGCTCAACTGATGATGAATCTGAAGATAATAATCACTTTAGAGATTAAAAAGAAATTGTCTGAAAAGCCTGTGAAGCGAGAACTTTCTGAATATGCTATAATTAATTTACAAATTTAAAAAAATTTCCTCTTCTAACGATTCCTATGAACTCTCCATTCATGAAAGCCTTCTTATTAATAAATACAAGTCTTCACTCATCGTTCAAGAAAGTTCCATTGCACTTAACCTCTCTTAGCGTCAGTATATTTAACTTCTCAACTTCTTTATCATGTATTCCATTTGACACCGCCTCTTAAGTCGTAATTTAACACCTTTTGTAAATACAATATCTTGTCTTAACATCTCATTATAAATTATAATTTGACTGAATATGTCTTGACTAAGGACGAAACGTCGGTATAAATTCCATTTTACAACTTTTGGTCTATTTCTATGGCTCTAATTAAAACTTTATGTTGGGCATTCACTTTTATCATATTACAAGAAAAATTAATTTTCACGAACACAAAAAACCAAAAGAACGTTAGTATATACGAGAAAGTTTTTAAAGAGTTCGGGGCAAGGTGAAATGAACGACAAGAAGACATTGACTTTACTGTTACTCCAATGAGTAATATATTTAAGAAATGTATAAGAGAATGCAAATATGCTGCGATGATAATTAAAACTGCCAGTTGCATCAAACATTTTCGACAAAGTAAGGGCCATAGTGATCAAGCAGTTTTTGCAACTTGTCTAATCAAGAGAAAAAACACAAACATCACATGGCAATAGAACCATCATCTTCAAATGATACCAATAGCGCTAGCTCCAGTGTCAATTTTTTCTAATTTTTCAGAAAAACAATGAAGAAATTTGACAATTGAATAGAGAAGGTTAAGATAGTTGTAAAAATCGTTTGTCCAAACAAACTGAAAAAGTATCAACAAAAGACAATGTTTGTGAAGCTATAGCTCTTTTAAAGACATTTGTAGACGATGATCCATCCAAGGAGCTGCTACTTTTCATGCAAGATGAAACTGAAAATTAAGAAAGCTTGAACCTGAAATGACAAAGCTTTCTTAAATTTATATCTACATTAAATGGTGCATATCATTTACCAACACCAAATTTTCAATTCCAACTAAATTTCCACGCATCAGGTAATTTTTAGCATTATCAATTACCAACACAATTCATTCAGCAGCCACTCCAAACTATAGCAGTACTCATTCCGACAATAATCTCAAACAATACCAATCATTATAGAAGTTATGTGAATAAAAATAACATATTACATTTATTATGCTCTGAATCACATGCAATGTTTAATTACTTCATATATTTTAGTTCGGTTTTCAAACGAGGGATTTCAAATATTAAAGATGATCTTTTCCTGTTAGCTACAATAGCTTTATGTTGCTATATTATCAAATTTCATGAATATGTTCCATTAAACCGTCTATATATGAAAGTAGTTCTGAATACTTTGACAACATCTTTGTCTAAATTAAAAGAATCTATCTTTCCTTTTATGTATATATTAGCCTGTTTATTATTTATATATTTCATTACGTATAGAGGAAACTAATGTACAAAACAAATATTTTTATTAAGGTATCTATTCTTGGCAGAAAGTACAGAACGTTTCTTATGGTTATGGAGCATGACTGCAAATAAACATCATATTTTTTCAGTTTCACTTCAATCAATAGCACTTGATCTAACGCTTGACATGGCTAAAGAGAAGATTTATTGGCGAGCTTCAAACGGAAATGTTTTTTCTTGTGATTACTACTCCCATGATGTAATTGATTTTGGAACTTCAGGAGGTCCCATGGCAGTATTTAAAGATTTCATTTATATCATAACTAGTGTCGGACGAAGTGTCGTTAGTGTCCATAACACAACAGATCAACGTACGAGGCGTAAATATTTTCTTCCTGTAAACAACGGTTATCTTGATTTGGCTGTAGCTATACACAGTATCACTCCTGACTCAAACGGTAGTTAAATATTTACTTATTTGACATAACAAGCTAAGACTTGCAAAACTCTCACGCTAATGTACTTAAAATTGAAAGACGTTAAAAGTTTAAAGTTACAATGCCTTATTAAACGGTTGTTCTTCCTTCCAAAATTATAGAAAATTTGATAAACATTAAGTTCAAAGTGCAAAGTGTCTAATCTGGATTTTTGCCGTTTGTCTATTCTTGCCAAATTTGTTGGGTGTTAAATTTATATCTTTATTGTTTCTTACATCATTTCAACAATCACTCTGGCTTGTAATCAGTTTTAAATAAGAAAAAATTCATGAAAATAGAATGAAAGACAAAACGTCCAATTTGAGCATGTTGTGCAGTGAGCTTAATATTTATCAAATCTTCTAAATATTTAGTACATTGCAAAACCGAATTCAAACATTTAAATCTTTGGATTAAACTAGATTTGAAACTTTTCATTTTCTTTCTTCATGCAGTTCAAACTGAGGCAATTACGAAGTACTCTTATGGTTTTCGAGATTAAATCTTAATTCCTTTTATTTTTAAATAAACAAGACAAGGCAATGCCAAAATACATGAGCTTTGGCATATTTTGTTAGAAATGTTGATGAATTGATAATTTCCTAAACAATTTTTAATTATCTAAATTCTTTAGATACATCCTTTATAATATCCCGAACAGCCAGCAAATCTGTTCATACTTTGTAAATTAACAACATTTATTTAATTGTTTTGTTTGTACGATATTCGTGAACACCAAAGATACCAACAATGCATTACAAATTTCCTAGCTGGGTACGTCATAGTGGATACTGAATGACAAATTGTGTTCTTTGAGAAAGAACATGTTTTCTTTTGAATTCCATAGTTGATATTAGTTTTAATTTTATTATTCTATATAGCGACAAACACTTTTCGACTTCCTTTATGTGGACCCAACACTTACTATCGTAAAATTAATGGATCATTAAACTGCACGTGTATGAAAGGATACTCAGGAGAATGTAACTCGTGCCAGGGTATGGATTTATAACTAAACAAACACAACTTGTTCCACAAGGACATAATTAAACATAACCTATTATATCTATGCCCATAAAAAGATTAAGTAATACCAGAGAAAAAAGGACCGCCTATTGACCAAATTTTCCGTGGAGGAATGTGATAATCCTTATATTATTTGCTTTGTTACGATTTTTACATTTATTATGGCTTTTTAAAGCTGAAGGCTTTAGCTTATGCAGCTCCATTAGAATTTTTTTGCATATTAAAAAGGAGCATCTCCAAATTAACACTGCAGTGTAATTTTATGTCTTTAATGTCGTGCTGTCTATCTTAAGAATTCATTTTAATTTGTTTTAACTGACCGTTAAGGTTCAGCTAAAGCCATGCCTAGAGAGCACCAAAACGTATTTCTGAATAATTAAAAGACAGTTATTTTAAAATACGATATAGTTTTCCACGTTGTAAGCGAAGAGTCTATGTGAACAATTTACTTTTTATTTTTGCTTGTTTCAACAAGTTATGGGGCAGTGTTGCCATATGGCAATAAAATCAAATGATTGAATGGAAAACTAATGGGAACATTCGCAAGTTAAAGTGTTAATAAGATATTTATATTACAAAAAGAAATGAGGACTGATCTAAATAAAAAATTATTTAGACTCATGAAAGTCAAATAGTGTCTACTTGTCTAAAACGTTTTGATATTGTACTCATGTAATATTTTTTATCAATTTTTTGTTACTAATTTAATTCATTAATTTCGCCTTAGAAGATTTTACAATGGCATCTAACATATTAGGATACTTTATATGTATACATGTAACTTAGAATATTTCGGAGTTGAGAATTCTATGTTTTGCAATATCTCTTTATTTTCTCTTTTTATCAGTTATTAACTCTGTTAGACTTCGGGGACCAAAAGTTCTATTGGCAAAGGTCGTGTAGAAGTATTTTACAATGAAGAATGGGGAACAATTTGTGATCATGGCTGGGATATAAACGATGCTAAAGTTGTTTGTCGACAACTTGGTTATGACAAAGCTGTCAGTGCGTTACGAGGAGGTGATGTTCCTTATGGCAGTGGAAGAATATGGTTAGACGATGTTCTTGTGTAGGAAATGAAAATAATATTTCGAGTTGTTCACATAGAGGATGGGGAACATAATTGTGACATTATGAAGATGCTGGTGTACAATGTTCAGGTTTGTATGTACATTATTTACATTTTATACAAAGATGATAAACTGAATTATTTGGGGATCCTCAATGATGAACTTAAACATTTAATATGATTTTATAATACTGAAATAGATAGTGACAAATGCCTTAAGTATAAACACAGCTTCGGACGTAAATTAACCATATAAACACAACTCGTTCCACGAGGACATAATTAAACATAACCAATTTTATGATTGCCCAGAGAAAGATTCGACAATACCAGAGAAAATGGGCAGTCCATTGGCAAACTTTTCCTTGGAGGAATATGATAATCCTTAAATTATCAGTTTTGTTACGATTGTTTACATTCATTATAGCTATTTAAAGCTGTATGCTGTAGCTTATGATGCTCCATTAAAATTTTTGCACATTAATAAGGAGCATCTCCAAATTTACACTGCAGTGTAATTTTATGTCTTGTAATGGCGTGCTGTCTATCTTAAGAATTCATTTTAAATTCGTTTTAACTGACCGTTAAGATTTAGCTAAAGCCATACCTAGAGAGCACCAGAAACATATTTCTCAATAATTAAAAGACAGTTATTTTAAAATGCGATAAAGATTCCCACGTTTTAAACGAAGAGTATGAGTGAACTATTTACTCTTTATTTTTGCCTGTATCAACAAGTTATGGGGTAGTTTTGCCATATTGCAATAAAATGAAATGATTGAATGGGAAACCAATGGGAAAGTTCGCAAGTTAACGGGTTAAGAACTTATTTATATTACATAAAGAAATGAGGACTGGTCTAAATAAAAATTTTTCGACTCATGAAAGTCAAATAGTGTGTCTGATGGTCCAAAACGTTTTGATATTGTACTTATGTAAGTTTTTTATCAAATTTTGTTACTAATTTAAATGATTAATTTCGCACAAGAATATTTTACAATGGCACCCAACATAACAGGATACTTTATATATAAACATGTAACTTAGAATATTTTGGAGTGAAGACTTCTATGTTTTGCAATATCTCTTTATTTTCTTTTTTTATCAGTTATCAACTCTGTTAGACTTCGGGGACCAGAAAGTTCTATTGGCAGAGGTCGTGGATGTATTTTACAATGGAGAATGGGGAACAATTTGTGATGATGGCTGGGATTTAAACGATGCTAAAGTTGTTTGTCGACAACTTGGTTATGACTATGCTGGCAGGGCTTTACTAGGAGGTAATGTTCCACATGGCAGTGGAAGAATATGGTTAGACGAAGTTCGTTGTGTAGGAAATGAAAATAATATTTCGAGTTGTTCACATAGTGGATGGGGATCACATAATTGTACACATAATGAAGATGCTGGTATACAATGTTCAGGTTTGTTTCTACATTATTTACATTTATTTACAAAGATAATAAACTGAATTATTTGAAGGATCCTCAATGATTAATCTAGACATTTCATATGATTTTCAAATACTGAAACAATATTGACAAATTCCTTAAAAATAAACACAGCTTCGGACGTAAATTAACCATATAAACACAACTCGTTCCACGAGGACATAATTAAACATAACCTATTTTATGATTGCCCATAGAAAGATTCGATAATACTCGAGAAAAAGGGCAGTACATTGACCAAATTTTCCGTGGAGGAATGTAATAATCCTTAAATTATCTGTTTTTTTCGATTATTTACATTCACTATAGCTTTTTAAAGCTGTAGGCATTAGCTCATAAAGGTCCATTAAAATTTTTTTGCATATTTAACAGAAGCATCTCCAAATTAACACTGAGTGTAATTTTATGTCTTTTAATGTCGTGCTGTCTATCTTAAGAATTCATTTTTAATTTGTTTTTAACTGACCGTTAAGGTTCAGCTAAAGCCATGCCTAGACAGCGGCAGAAACGTATTTCTGAATAATTAAAAAGACAGTTATTTTAAAAATACGATATTGTTTTCAAGGTTGTAAGCGAAGAGTCTATGTGAACAATTTACTTTTTATTTTTTTGCTTGTTTTAACAAGTTATGGGACAGTGTTGCCATATGGCAATAAAATCAAATGATTGAATGGAAAACTAATGGGAACATTCGCAAGTTAAAGTGTTAATAAGAAATTTATATTACAAAAAGTAATGAGGACTGATCTAAATAAAAAATTATTTAAACTCATGAAAGTCAAATAGTGTCTACTTGTATAAAACGTTTTGATATTGTACTCATGTAAGTTTTTTTATCAATTTTTTGTTACTAATGTAATTCATTAATTTCGCCTAAGAAGATTGTACAATGGCATCTAACACATTAGGATACTTTATATATAAACATGTAACTTAGAATATTTTGGAGTGAAGACTTCTATGTTTTGCAATATCTCTTTATTTTTTTTTAATCAGTTACCAACTCTGTTAGACTTCGGGGACCAGAAATTTCTTTTGGCAAAGGTCGTGTAGAAGTATTTTACAATGGAGAATGGGGAACAATTTGTGATGATGGCTGGGATATAAACGATGCTAAAGTTGTGTGTCGACAACTTGGTTATGACTATTATTTCAGGGCTTTACTAGGAGGTAATGTTCCACATGTCAGGGGAAGAATATGGTTGGACGAAGTTCGTTGTGTAGGAAATGAAAATAATATTTCGAGTTGTTCACATAGTGGATGGGGATTGCATGATTGTGAACATGATGAAAATGCTGGTGTACAATGTTCAGGTTTGTATGTACATTATTTACATTTTTATAGAAAGATGATAAACTGAACTATTTGGGGGATCCTCAATGACGAATTTAAACATTTAATATGACTTTATAATACTGAAACAGATATTGACAAATGCCTTAAGTATAAACAGAGCTTCGGACGTAAATTAACCAAATTAACACAACTCGTTCCACGAGTACAAAATTATACATAACCAATTTTATGATTGCCCAGAGAAAGATTCGACAAAACCAGAGAAAATGGGCAGTCCATTGGCCAACTTTTCCTTGGAGGAATATAATAATCCTTAAATTATCAGTTTTTTACGATTGTTTACGTTCATTATAGCTATTTATAGCTGTATGCTGTAGCTTATGATGCTCCATTAAAATTTTTTTGCACATTAGTAAGGAGCATCTCCAAATTTACACTGCAGTGTAATTTTATGTCTTGTAATGGCGTGCAGTCTATCTTAAGAATTCATTTTTAAATTCGTTTTTAACTGACCGTTAAGATTTAGCTAAAGCCATACCTAGAGAGCACCAGAAAGATATTTCTTAATAATTAAAAAGACACTTATTTTAAAAATGCGATAAAGATTTCCACGTTTTAAACGAAGAGTATGAGTGAACTATTTACTCTTTATTTTTTGCCTGTATCAACAAGTTATGGGGTAGTTTTGCCATATTGCAATAAAATGAAATGTTTGAATGGGAAACCAATGGGGAAAGTTCGCAAGTTAACCGGTTAAGAACTTATTTATATTACATAAAGAAATGAGGACTGGTCTAAATAAAAACTTTTTCGACTCATGAAAGTCAAATAGTGTGTCTGATGGTCCAAAACGTTTTGATATTGTACTTATGTAAGTTTTTTTATCAAATTTTTGTTACTAATTTAAATGATTAATTTCGCACAAGGATATTTTACAATGGCACCCAACATAACAGGATACTTTATATATAAACATGTAACTTATAATATTTCGGAGTGAAGACTTCTATGTTTTGCAATATCTCTTTATTTTCTTTTTTTATCAGTTATAAACTCTGTTAGACTTCGGGGACCAGAAAGTTCTATTGGCAGAGGTCGTGTGGATGTATTTTACAATGGAGAATGGGGAACAATTTGTGATGATGGCTGGGATTTAAACGATGCTAAAGTTGTTTGTCGACAACTTGGTTATGACTATGCTGGCAGGGCTTTACTAGGAGGTGATGTTCCACATGGCAGTGGAATGATATGGTTAGACGAAGTTCGTTGTGTAGGAAATGAAAATAATATTTCGAGTTGTTCACATAGTGGATGGGGATCACATAATTGTACACATGATGAAGATGCTGGTATACAATGTTCAGGTTTGTTTCTACATTATTTACATTTATTTACAAAGATAATAAACTGAATTATTTGAAGGATCCTCAATGATTAATCGAAACATTTAATATGATTTTCAAATCCTGAAACAATATTGACAAATTCCTTAAGTATAAACACAGCTTCGGACGTAAATTAACCATATAAACACAACTCGTCCCACGAGGATTTAATTAAACATAACCTATTTTATGATTGCCTATAGAAAGATTCGATAATACTCGAGAAAAAGGGCAGTCCGTTGACCAAATTTTCCGTGGAGGAATGTAATAATCCTTAAATTATCTGTTTTTTTTACGATTGTTTACATTCATTATAGCTTTTTAAAGCTGTAGGCTTGAGCTTATAAAGGTCCATTAAATTTTTTTTTGCATATTTAACAGAAGCATCTCCAAATTAACACTGAGTGTAAATTTATGTCTTTTAATGTCGTGCTGTCTATCTTAAGAATTCATTTTTAATTTGTTTTTAACTGACCGTTAAGGTTCAGCTAAAGCCATGCCTAGAGAGCACCAAAAACGTATTTCTGAATAATTAAAAAGACAGTTATTTTAAAAATACGATGTAGTTTTCCACGTTGTAACCGAAGAGTCTATGTGAACAATTTACTTTTTTTTTTTTGCTTGTTTCAACAAGTTATGGGGCAGTGTTGCCATATGGCAATAAAATCAAATGATTGAATGGAAAACTAATGGGAACATTCGCAAGTTAAAGTGTTAATAAGATATTTATATTACAAAAAGAAATGAGGACTGATCTAAATAAAAATTATTTAGACTCATGAAAGTCAAATAGTGTCTACTTGTCTAAAACGTTTTGATATTGTACTCATGTAAGTTTTTTATCAATTTTTGTTACTAATTTAATTCATTAATTTCGCCTAAGAAGATTTTACAATGGCATCTAACATATTAGGATACTTTATATGTATACATGTAACTTAGAATATTTCGGAGTTGAGACTTCTATGTTTTGCATTATCTCTTGATTTTCTTTTTATCAGTTATCAACTCTGTTAGACTTCGGGGACCAGAAAGTTCTATTGGCAAAGGTCGTGTAGAAGTATTTTACAATGGAGAATGGGGAACAATTTGTGATGATGGCTGGGATATAAACGATGCTAAAGTTGTTTGTCGACAACTTGGTTATGACTATGCTCAGGGCTTTACTAGGAGGTAATGTTCCACATGGCAGTGGAAGAATATGGTTAGACGACGTTCGTTGTGTAGGAAATGAAAATAATATTTCGAGTTGTTCACATAGAGAATGGGGATTGCATAATTGTAGACATTATGAAGATGCTGGTGTACAATGTTCAGGTTTGTATGTACATTATTTACATTTTATACAAAGATGATAAACTGAATTATTTGAGGATCCTCAATGATTAATTTAAACATTTAATATGATTTTATAATACTGACATAGATATTGACAAATGCCTTAAGTATAAACACAGCTTAGACGTAAATTAACCAATAAACACAACTCGTTTCACGAGTACATAATTAAACATAACCAATTTTATGATTGCCCAGAGAAAGATTCGACAATACCAGAGAAAATGGGCAGTCCATTGGCCAACTTTTCCTTGGAGGAATATGATAATCCTTAAATTATCAGTTTTGTTACGATTGTTTACATTCATTATAGCTATTTAAAGCTGTATGCTGTAGCTTATGATGCTCCATTAAAATTTTTTTGCACATTAATAAGGAGCATCTCCAAATTTACACTGCAGTGTAATTTTATGTCTTGTAATGGCGTGCTGTCTATCTTAAGAATTCATTTTAAATTCGTTTTAACTGACCGTTAAGATTTAGCTAAAGCCATACCTAGAGAGCACCAGAAACATATTTCTCAATAATTAAAAGACAGTTATTTTAAAATGCGATAAAGATTCCAGTTTTAAACGAAGAGTATGAGTGAACTATTTACTCTTTATTTTTGCCTGTATCAACAAGTTATGGGGTAGTTTTGCCATATTGCAATAAAATGAAATGATTGAATGGGAAACCAATGGGGAAAGTTCGCAAGTTAACCGGTTAAGAACTTATGCACAGGTGTTAAACCAGCACCTTTTAATGGGGTGATGAAATTGCTATGCAAGGACACAAGATGCCCTGCAGATCATATAGATTAGTACTTATTCAACAATAAAATATTGTGATGATTGAACACATTTTCGCTATATATTTTTGTAATACATATTGTATTCTTGTGACAGAACGCACTTTAGCGTATTATTAAATCTTTAATGTTATTTTTTGCATCCTTGCAGTTGCCCAATTTTTTAAAATAACATTTAAGTCAACATTGTCCGTAGGGTCTTTTTCACATGCAAGAACGATTAAGTCATTTAATCGTGTATCTATCTCTGTGCATCTCAAGCAGTTTTTGACAACCATATACTTCCTGAAACACCTTTCATCTTTTGCAACAGACACTGGAGCGGTCAGCATTAGTTGATACGCCTTGCACACCATTGGAAAGACGTTTTTGTGATTGAAAGCAAATAACGCAACGTCTTGAAGGGATTTGGGTTCTGATTTAAGTTGTGACGACACAATATTATTGAAAACTTCCAACTCAGACAGCAGTATTTCTGCATCAACATCTTATACCGCCGGTGGAAAAAGACTACACTTTTCATGAACTGATTCAGCCATCGGCCTTTCTACTGGCAGCTGTAAGCTCTCTCTAAAAGGTTTTATCTGGTCGATGCAAACTTTAATGATATTGGTATACTCGGTAATAAGTGAGTCTAGAACCAAGTACATTTCTTTTCGTACAAATCTTTAAAGGTTTTTCTGTTGTTATTTCGGAATGCTCACCAATTCGTTTGGGTGACTTTCTTGATCGATGATGACGTGTGTATTCTGCCATTACGTCTATTCCTACTTTGGTAACGAATGCAACCATTGCCTCTATCTCCGAGTCCAATCCGTTATCGTCACTTCGAATTTGTCTAAGGTATTTTAATGTAGCATCAATCAGGTTAATTGCATCTACTATATTTAGCTCCTCCTCCTGCAGTTGTTTGATTAGGGACTGGTTTTGTCATTATGATTTGCATGAAAATAAGAGCAAAAAGAAAGTCAAAACTAAGAAATTTATTTTTTATTCCATCGCCTTTATCGATTTATCTATATCTATTTAATTTTCTATTAAAGATTTAATGACACCTTTAGCCGCTCCAGCATCGGTTTTATCCAGGCTCTCTTTCATTTCAAGCCGACTCTCGCATGGGATGCTCATATGGTTGACATATTTTACAGCGACGATAAGCATGTCTTGATTCAAAGTATTAGGTGTAGTGTCTGCAGACACAGAAAATACACCGGCTGACTTAATTCAGCACAAATTTCATCCCTCACAGATTGAGCCAGCAAATGATGCATCTCATTTTGTGCCTCTGACCTTGTATATGTTGTACTATATGGCCTTAGGCGCTGATCGTCCAGCCACAGCTTGAGAACAGGAGAATGTATTGGAAAAAGATTTGCAATCTGAATGAATTTTCCGTCTTTGTCATTGCCGCCTCCTCTGGATGCCAACGACTGCTTGCCTGAGTGCGAGCCACATCAAGAAGAATCAACATAATTTCTTTGTTCTTTTCTTCATCTGCTTTCTCTTGCATCAATATTTCCTTCATTTTCGCATTCATCATTACATCAATATGGCCAGATGTTATTGAGAAACGAGCAAAATCAGCCAGAGTAGCTTGTTGGGACTTGCTACTGAAGTGTTTATGAAGTTTTCCTTCATAAACACTTCAGGAAGAAAGATTATATTTTGTTCTTTTACTTTTCATTGCAAAAAATGACGTGCTTCATCTTTCTATTGCTACCAAGGAAAAATACTATGATTATGCCAATGGATGAAACGTTTTGATTTAATCATGGTAAGACTTGGCAAACACAAGTAGTATTTAAGGACAAAATTTAAAACTGGCCAAAATTTGCAAAATTTTTTTCCGTTCAGATCATGGATAGGGTTTTCCTATATTCCTTGATATAGACTGAAAGCAGGAAAGCGCTTTTCTAAGAGTTAAATTTCATGAAATTTTATAGGCTATAAGGAAAGATCCTAGTGATGGGGAATCATGTCAAAGAAATACACTAAAAACCTAATTCTAATCGAAGATCGTAAAAAGTGTCGTGGAAAATTTGAAAGCTTATGTAGAAAATGCTGTATGTTTGACATTTTATCCATTGTTGAAATGTATCTGTAATACAAAACTACGTGTAAACAAATTGTAATCAACCATATTATCATATAAAGTAAATGTACATAATATCATAATCTATAAAAAAGTAAAATGATGAAGTTTAATTTCTGCTAAGAATAAAATATTATTGACAAATCAAATGATTTACTGAATTACATTATCTTTGACAATTGACAAATCAAGCCGTAAGATTTTCTTTTGAAGTTACATAAAGTTATTGCGTGGATTCCGCAAGACAATGCTGGCAATTGCTACCTACCATGCCACTTGTACTGCCCACCAACCAGAGATGACCGCGATTGCATGAAAATAAAATTAATAAAATCAGTTTATGATGTGTTTCCAAAGGAGAGGCAAACCTCGACTAGCTTTGTAATTAAAAGAAATCTTAAAATCAATCTATTGTAAATCTTGACATTTAGTTTTTCCGTTGGGACTTGTTAATCCTGTAGATTGATTTACCAATAAATTGATGCATTGTAGGAATCAGAAATGTTTGGAATATGATATCGAAATAAAATTAAGAATCATTTTGTCTCACTCAAAATGGATGACGATTTTAGAAAATGACGTCAGATATTGCATTCATGAATTATTATGTTTCCAATCATTTATGATTTATCAAACATCAAGCACAACATAGAGTACCATTTCTTCAATTGCAATGTTTATGATTGGACAATGAATGCAAATTATAAATTATTAGTAAAAACATTTCATTTTTTTGAACTTTTTCTTAGTACAGACTACAGCTAAAATAAAGTGTTTATCTTTCTCAGACATATAACAGTGAAGAATCATAACCAGATGAGTACGGTATCTCTCAGAAAGTTTTGGTAATTCAGAAAATATACTGTTAAGTAACGTTAAAGTATCGTTAACTTGACATCATTTCATATTATAAAATAAACACAACAAAGCACGTGCGCTGATGGGTTTAGACCTGTGTTTGCATGAGTTTGCGAAAACGATCTAAGCTCAACCAATCAAATCAATCAATCAAACAGAATTTGCAAATTAATCATGACTACACGTTAAAAGAATATTATAACGGTTTTTTGTTTCGCATTATTGTTATTTTTTTAAAAAAATAAAAGATGTTTTTCGTGTTTGCACTGGCTTTTGCAAGTGTGTCTGGGGTAAAAATTCTTGAGCTTGTGCAACCCTAGACATTCGGTCTCGGGCTTACACTGATCTGCTCTTGAGTTCTCCCAAAGGTATCCTCGGATTGCATAAGCCTGTGCAAACACATGCAGTAAACATATTTTATTTATTAATTTGTGTATGAATTAAATCATTTGTAAATAACATCCTTGCTTTATTAGAGTAAATATTTACGAAATCCTAAAACGTCAATGATTTTCACAGAATCTGTTTACAATAGACTACATTTACTATCCTAGATCAAAACATGAGACATTTTCATTTCATTATGCCTAAGTAAAGAGTTTAACGACTTTTTTTACCCATTTTTTTAAGAAAGAACACTTATAATTTAATCAAACCTTTGTAATCTTCGTCTTTAGGTCCTTACACCTCGACAACATAACGACATAGCGACATGATTGCAGACGGTGTTATAACATTTAACTAAAATACATGGAGTGCTACTTGTAATAATAAACCTTAATAATTTTTTGAAGCCGTAATTTTACCCCAGAAACGCGAGATTTTACACCAGACACGCTTGTGAAGTCAATTATTACTCCGTGCGAGAGTCTCAAAACACTAAGCACGCGTGTCTGGGGTAAAATCTCGCCTATCTGGTGTAAGATTTGGGCTTTTCGCTTCATTTATTAGCTTTAGGTAGCGCTCCATGTATTTTAGTTCTATGTGTTATAACGACTACCATTGGTAACCTGGCAAACATGTCGCTGAGTAGTAACAACCTAGCGTCAACGACGGTGTGTTACACATAGCTACATAACTTCCTGGAAGTGTTATCTTGCCTATATTGAGTTAGATGGTATATGCCTGAACACAGGCTAAAAATAGTCAAATAAAACAAAGTGCAAAATTTGTTTCGCCGTAATATTTTGATGAACGTACTAAAACTACATTAAGTTACATGATAAGTTGCGTCGATTTGTAATAACTCTTTCTATCTTTTTCGTCTCTCTTACATTGAGGAAGAGCACTTACAAGTATGTTTGTTTTTGTGAGGTTTTGTTGATGATAAAAATTTCGTACAAGTTTAAAATGGGATCTTAGAAATTTTCAAAAAAACAATAAATAAATGTTTTTGTAATCAAATATTCTCTACCTCATTTTTCAAAATACCATACCCTAATATTTAAGTTACCTGAGATAAAAGCATTAAAATGTCAAATATTTCAACGTGACACGTAGGATATGCAAAGAAGAGAATTTTTATTGTGTGTAATTTACTCTGAAATACATCACAGAAAATTTTTTTTTGTTTTTGTTTTATGTCTTATGAAATCAAATCATTTTGATCTTTTTGCAACAAGTACCGAGACATGTATTATTTGAAAACATTGAAGCACCATTACCACCTGGATCTACATTTTGATATGTCTTAACATTAAGAAAAGTTTCTTCAAGTTAATGCCTTTCTCAACCTCTATTGAATACTTATCATCAAAATTAACTGGAAAAGAACAGGAAAATAATCAAGTAAATGTAATGTATTAAAATCAGATTCGTCTAATTTTTTGAGCTGATTTGTGAAGGTCTTATCGGATTATTTCGTAATTTTTGTATTGTGTCAATGTTTTCATTTCATAGCAGTTTGTTTTGGCCTTTTGAGTTCTAGCCCAGATTTAGTTGTGAAATGAGACAATTAACAACCGTGGGTTATGTAGCTAAATATTTTTTTGTTCGAATATATGATGTCAGGAAATGCTTATTGAATTTCTTGCTGAAATTGCAACCAAAGGAAAAATATAATTTATCAAAAGTAATAATTTAGGAGAATTTGCAGGATATGAGTTCAAATTTCTTTTAAGTAATAGTCTAATCATGCAAGAGACATTGTTTATTGAGAGTTATTCGCCTTACCAAAATGGGAAGAGAGAGACTGGTCAAATTTATTCAATATGGCCAGATGGTTACCAGTAGAATTAAAATTACCAAAGTTGTTGTAAACTTGTGCAGTAATGGCATCTGCATATATGGCGAACAGGTGTAGCAATAATAGAATTGAAATAATTGCAAGTGAGTTTCTAACGAGATTTAAGTCTATTCTTAGTAAAATGCATGGTTCGGTTCAATGTGTTTTTGCTAACACATACAGAATTCCAGAAAGCTTGAGCCAAGAGGTAAAAGAGGCATGTTTGCGGAATGTGATGAGAGGAGTCCATCTTACCTAGTATATCACTAAGAAACCATGAAAATAGAGCGAGTAACGTAAAATTTTTGATGGAGTCGATAAATTTGTCATTGACAAAATTAAAACGGATAATGAAATATGTCCATCATTTTGTACTATAAACCTGTTGCAATTCAGAGCAAGAAACTAAAAAATTGAAGGGAAAAATTTACGATCAAGTTGAGAACACAGGAAGGTACCCATCTAAAGTCGAAAATAAGCCAGCCAGCATAGCATAACTGCTATTACCAGTAAGCGTGCAGTTGATTAACGTTATAGATTAAATAACGTAGCAAATTCTCATTTAGAGGCGGATCAACCGAGTTAGTCTTGGTGATTACCATAAGTTATCAATGTTTACAAAGAGTTATCATCTTTCGAATAAGATAAGGTTCCAAGCTTTTTTAGTGCAAATCAATATATTTGTAAAAACATCTATATTTTGTATTGCGATCTAGCGGAAGTATCTTTCTGGAAGGCGTGTCTTCTTAGAAATTGCTTCATAAAAGTGAGGGACACGATCATTAAAGGTTCCGACACGAGTGGACCTTCTGTCAAGATATCTATACTGCTATCGGCATATTTAGTTGACAGGGATGTTTATTTTGAGCAAGTTAAGGGTTATTTAAATTATAGGATTAAGAACGGAGAAAAGTTTGTTCACAAATTAAATACCTTGTAAGCCCCTGTGTGGTCTCAAACAAAGCGGCTGAAACTGGAATGAAACATTAAATAATTACTTGACCGTGGAAAGGTTTAGGCAATCACTCCCAGACCCTTACGTATACTTTATGTTTGTAGATGGAGCCTTGTTGAAATATTTAAATGGTTTTACTTTCTATTTGTGAAGCAGAGTGCAAATTTTTATAACAATTATGTTGCAATTTAGGCATAGTGGAAGGAAACAGAAGCTCAAAAATCAATGCAAATAACAAGGGACCGATAAAATTAGCAATTTAAAGGACGCAACTTTTCACAAAAAGGTCTAAACACACATGGAAATCAAATATCATTTTAATAGAAGCGAAATACAACGCGGCTTAATGAGCTTAAGTTACTCTGCAAGCAAAGGCAACTTACCAAATATTTCACAAGAAGATAACGAGTAAACATTTAGATTGGGTAGTGTTAGAAATGGTTTTCAAATATCAAAAGAAGGATCTCTGATATCCTCAAAGAATAGGAAAAAGCAAATGGTTTTACTTTCTGCGTGTAAAACAGAGTGTACAACTTTATCTTGGGTGCAGTGATTTAAGCATAGTGGAAAAGAACAGTGGCGCGAAAATCAAAGCACACAACCAGGGAGCATTAATATCAGGAAGAACCAAGCTTTTCAAAAAAAACAACGTTTAAACACATAGAAATTTAAAATCATTTTATTAGAAGCAAAGTGCAGGTAGCGCGGAACAATGAACTTAATTAATTGCCAACGAAGATAACTTAGTAAATACATTTACAATAACAAAAAGTAAAGTTAAAATAGATCATTTTCAACATTTTCTATGTAGCCAAAAGGACACTGCCGTATGTATAAGTGTAATGTAAGTGTTTGCCAAGCCACGTCTTTATAATGAAATAAGGAAAGTGTAGTAATTTGTGTAATAATGTCACCCTATCATTGTGAACTTAATCTCATGATAGATTATTATCAACCAACCATGTAGCGTCTATAATGTAAAATACCTGAATCAGCATGTACTTACTTGTAGTTTTTGTAGTTTCTTGCAATGTAGAAGTTTTCATTGAATGTTATAAATAATTTTTTCAGCAGCAACGCGAGTCACAACAACTGTCACAAAATAAATTAACTAGCACAGTGTGAAAGAATGGATATTTACCATAGGTTT